ATAACTGCACGTGGAGGGACTTCTTTGTTACTCTTAAACTGAAATCTAAATTAACTGGAACTCAACCGGTGTGCTGGAGAGAAGATGGAGAAAAGACGGCAGATCACGGTCACATTTCTGCATTTTCTAACTTTACATGTCTTTACCTTGGACGCTTTCCAGATGAATTACATCACACAGGCAAATATCTTTTAAAGGTCCTACTGGCAGCGAACAAAAAAGCCATGACTAAGCGTTGGCTCTAGAAGCATCGCCACACAATAACTTGGTTATTACAAGTGTTAACAATCTACACACTGGGGAAGAGCTGACATATGCATAAGACTTCAAAACAAAAGTGGGAGAGAAAAGGTGGGAGAAATCGCAGCGTTATTTAGCCTCTGAAACAGACTTGATCGTGTGAGGTGGAAGAAGTGGGTTTTTTCTTTTTCTCGACCATTCTGTTTAATTGTGAAAATGAATAAAAACAAAGACTCCAGGTAGAATCTCTACAACATAAAACATTTTGAGAAAATCGCCGTTGTGAACTGATGAATATCCACTGAAGTGAACTGAATTCCGCTTTAAAAGATATCACTGGCTCGTAAAGCTTTGTCAGATCTCACACCTCTTTCAAAACACAAATATTACAGCTGTGATTATTCTTAAAGCGAATCCAAGCAGCTAATTGGCATTCAAATCCACCTGACTCGGTGTTATGAAGCTGACACTGTAATTACCATCAATTTACTTCAGATTTTCCATTTATTGTGTTCGTGTTATCTTGCAGCCCCTCTGGCAGTTTCGTTTTATTGCAGCCTACAGTACCTGTCTGGTCCGCTCCCGCAGGTCTTTATCTTCATAATGGGGGTGGTTGGTGAGAACTCTGCCTGTGCACAGCTTGATACCCGCCAGGAGCTGCATGCTTCCAGCAAATACTGCCTGTTTGGGTGTCTTTGTGCTGTGGACAAACACAGAGAAACGAGACAGACAAATCAGTCACCTTTCTAAACATTTTCATAGTATATTGCATGACTAGGCTAATATAATACAGTATATGTTTAGAAGTTAAAGCAACAGAGAGATGGAAAAAGTTTTTAGGCTATCCACACAAACATCGAGTCATCAGAAAAGTTTGATTGAATTTTACTTTATTTTATGGTCTCCTGTTGTTATTCACTGCACACGTTTTTGCCTTTTGAGCTACTGCAATAATTGGAACATACTACTGATGGCATTTAAAAGTTTCTTTCAGAGACGGATGAATTAAATTAGAAAAAGATGCCAAATGATGTGCAGTTACAGTGCTAACTCTACATCGCCAAGGACGAGCTTTGTAAAGCTGTGGCGTGTTAACATATTAATACAACTTAGTTTGTTGTGTGCGTGCATGAAAATGTGTGTGTATTCAAATCTTTTGCTGTGCCCCTGCAAACTGTGGTCAGGTACATCCTGGTTGCATTAATAATTCTCCAGATAAACATCAAATTGACTGCAGTGCTATTGTGGCAGACAGATCAACACCGCTGTGCATGTATCACTCAGAAAGACATTTAAAAGTTTCAGTGCAGCGATGGAAGGACCAGGGAACGACACCCACTACAGTGGAACTTCACCAATTAGGCTTTTATGGTAAACTAGGCAGACGGCAGCCATAAGAAGACAAACCTCTCAGCGCTTATTATCTGTGTTAAGTGGTTAGCACTGTCACCTCACAGCAAGAGTCCTAAATATGAGCTCGAGATGTTCCAAGAGACAAATTTACTGCTCGTTTACATAAGGAAAAGTAGACGAATTAAATAGTGTAAAAAGTATGAAGTTCCCAAATTAAACAGATAATTATTATCTGCATTATCTGTGCAAATTTCATATGTGCATTTCAAAGCTGAAAATCATATTCTTTGACAAATCTCACCGAAATATGTGGCCGTTTGAGCCATTTATGAACACAAACACAATGTCAGTTGAGGCTAAAGTTAGCAGTGCTAGCAGTGCCTCATTTCCCTGCAGGTTAAAGCCTGCACACCTGCGCAGCCTGTGGTTGCTCACTGCTGTGGTGGAGTGGTTATGTGCGACCCAACAGTTAACAGCGTTCATGCATTAGTTCAGTCCCTGGGTTTAAAGACCAATATTTCTGGTTCCAACATTTTAATAGTCTAGTTTACTAGTTGTGCAAATCCTTAAACCCAAAAGCACCTTTCTTTGAGCAGCTGCTTGTGAAGGTTTTTTTCTTGAACTGAATCTAATAAAATTTAATGAATGGTGGCATCAGAGCTGAAATAAGAATGAAAATGGTCCTTGAAGAAAATCTGAAGAGGCCTGCAGACCTGAAGCTTCCATGGAAAAGAAGCATCTAAAAAGTCTGGAGTTACCTTTGGAGATCAGAGATGTCAGTTTCTGACTTAACTGATCAGCAGAAAACTCGTCATTAATGTTTAGTAAGTGCAGATTGAAGGTTACTTTTTTCAATTAAATGTTTAAGACTAAAGAACATCAACATTTGTGACTTTAACTTTTCCTGAAATGAATTCACCAAAGAAAACTGAAGAATGCTGAGAACGCTGTGCGCACTGCAAGCTCTCTGTACAGTATATACTGTACACGTGTAGCACCGTAATGACCAGCTGACTGTTTCTCATGTGGATGTGCACATATGCATGAGTCTCGTAGGCGGAGCGGAGCGGAGGGTATTCAAACATGTTCCAAGGTGGACGTGTGGGTTGATGCTTTGGCCTCCTGACCTTCAGCAGGAACGCGTCGTTGTCCTTTCTGTCCATTTTGCTTCTTTGCTGCCTTTAAGCCAACATTTTCTTTCCTTCCATGTTGATTACATTTAATTTGATGTTTATATTCTTTTATGTAAATGGCAGAAAGGAACAGCCAGGAACCCTTTGACATTATAAAAATGAAATAATGATGTTCTTGGCTGAAAGAGACTCTCTACTGTGGCCAAGCACAGATCCTGCCTTGCTTCTATTTTCTCTTTGTGTGCTTAAACGTGTATTTGAGCGTGTTCATTAGTACCTGTTGCTCAAATTCTAGAGCACCATTAAGAAGATAATGATCTCGATTGTCACTCGAATGCAGTTTCTAACAGCTTGACAAGCATTTTAGCTTCTTCTTACCAGACTTGTTTACCACCACAGCAGGGAGCTGTCGCTCAGCTATGCCCACCAGCGCCAGAAAGAAGTTACCAGCTAGCTGAGGATTTGGCTTCTAAAGAGTCAGTTTGCTTTAAGTTGGTGGAGACAACAGGCTGACTTCCTGTTTGTTTCCTGCCCCCTAAAATCTCAAGTTGAATATTTAATCAATCCAACGAACTATGAATCAAAAATCAGGATTAACATACACCACATGACCTAACTGTAAACTGAGTCAGACCAAAAATAGCTTCATGTTAATAGGTTTGGACATAATCTATTGATATCGAGCTACTTTTCTACAGTTTTACATTTACCAGTTGTTAAAAGTAGTTCTTTCAGAAATTCGTAGTGACGGAGCTAAAGACCACGAAAACAAAACGGTCTGAGTAAGTAATGGGCAGGCGCACCTCAGGAGAGTAGTTCTATTAATGTTATGAATTATATCTGTGGTTTTGCTGCTGTCACGAAAAAAGAGAGGGCCAAAAAAACTACATTAATACACCAGGAAAAGTCTCGACCTTGTCTGGAAAAACATATCTGAACCAATTCACCTGCTCGTGCTTTTATGATTTTGGTATAAAGATTTGTGAGAACTGTCAAAGGCTTTTTAAGAGTCATGCCAGCATTTGCCTTCAGAACAGATTAACTTATCACCCGCAGTCACAAAGGACTGAAAGCACTCTTTGACCTCTTTGCAAACAATTCAAATTCAACATAAAGCTCAGCAACCCACTTTTGTCTGACCGGATCAGCTTTTTCTTACACGGAGCATTTGTTCTTTTTACAGTTTTCCAGAAGAGGAGAGAAAATGTAAAGACATAAACCTGAACAATAATTTTTAAACATCCCTAAATTACAAACGTCTGATGACATGATTTTGATTAGACTCCAGATTTTTAAAGACCGTAGGCTCAAACATCGACACTGCATGAAGATTTTAAGAGGTGATGACGGCCTGTTTTATCACACCGACTGCGCATCACTGCATTATTGGTGGAAATTCATGGCGTTTGGTAACTTCGCACTTTTTTCCAGCACAGCTTTGAACCTCAGCGGTGGTCTCAGCATTGAGCAGAACTGAAAGCGCCTCTGTAGGCACGCAGGGTCTGAGCAGCTGCTTTTCTGATGATTACTTTGGTAACTTCCAAAACACTCCTAAAAAATTTTCTTGCCTTTTATATAAATCTTATGTTCCACCTGCAGAGAGTGCAGCTGACACTCCGCCCGCACACAAAGAGTTACTGAGTGGAAGTGATGATGAGTGATAGTGAGACAGAGGACGTGACTCGAAGTGTTTTTATATAAATGCCAGGATGGCCATGGATTTTCTGCTGGTCTCACTTCTGATTGAGAAGTGTTCAATCAGGGACGTCGCTCTGACTCTGTCTCTAAACTGCCTCTGGATTAGCTAGAAAGCAGAGGAAGACACACACACACACACACACACACACACACACACACACAAGCACAGATCACAGACACCACTTTCCCCATTTAAGGATGAAGCCAAATGCTTCTAATTTAGACAATTTAAAGCACGACAAGGAGGAGGATGACAGGAAGACAATTAAGGGAGCAAGAGCGGGAATGAGAGTAAGAGGAAGCAGAGTATTTAAAGAATAGTGAAGATACAGTCACACCGACAGAGCAGAAACACACATTGTTGCTGAAAGACTGATATACAAACGAGTAGTGGCACATATTTCTTAAACATGGATCAAGCAATTTGTTTTAATTAGACAAACACAATGACACAGATCCACAAAACAAGGAGAGAGAATCCCACAAGGACTGGACAAGAATTATCTGGGGACCGTCAGAGTTAGGAGCTTAGCTTTTGTCTGGACAGGATGAACAATTGCAACTCTTCTTCTTCTTCTTCAGATGACCCCTGTAAGGGTTGCCACAGCAGACCCCCCAATCTCCCAGCATCCTCCTCTGTCACATCAACCCCCTGCATGTCCACCTTCACCACATCCATGAACCTTCCCCTTTTCCTTCATCCTGGCAGCTCCATCTTCAACATGCTTCGTTCATAAGTGAGACTGTACAGGTTTTAACTAAATGCTGAAGATAAAAATGACTGACATTGGATTATTGCGATAATCCTCATCTCTATGAAAACAAATTAACCAGTCTACATTCAGACAGCAGCTCTTAGTGAGGGTAAAAGGAGGAAATTCTGCAGCTCAAACTCCACATTATTATTCATCTCGTCTGTATTCTCCACCACTTATAGAAAGAGATGTCAAAGCTGAATTGTCTGAAGTGTTTTCTTAAGACTGGAATTTATTCTGCAGGGCTCACATTCACCTCATTTGTGTTAAACGGGGCAAAAATCTCAGGGACAAATATCTCAAGACCTTGAAAGATGGATACATGCCACCAGAGTTTAAGTAAGATGATATCTTAGCAACATTAAAACTACTTCAATGAATAACATCTTGTTGCAGTGCATCTATGTATCCATTTTCTTAATCGTCTATCCCAGCTGGCAGAGGACGAGGTACACCCTCGTGCCCAGGGATAATCAATGCAGACACAGGGATGACAAGCAAAACCCACCCAGAACCAGTGATCCCAGTGTGACCAAGCTCAAGCCAAAGACATGTACGCTGATCAGACCCAGCATTATGCCCTCCTGATTAATATTGTATTCATCCCCTTTTGCCCATCCCATCGAGGCACGGACTGCACTAGACTCTTAAAGGTGTTTTGTGGTATCTCCAAATTTTAGCAACAGATCCTGTAAGTTGGGGGCCTACATGGATCAGACTTGTTTGTTCCACAGATTATTAATTGGATCGATATCTGAGGA